ACAGAAAATTTTCAATACATCAAAATTATTAAAAATTGATGTAAGTAAAACTCCATCTGCTTGATTTGGTTACCTCCAAAAAAAATGCTTTTCGGTAAAAAAATGATTTTTGGATTTTCAAATAATAAGGATGTGAAATCCATAAAACTGTACAAAAAGACAGTAGACTTGCAAGGATTTTGTTTTATGCACAACCTATATCAAGTTGTTTGTTGACAAGAAACCATTCATTAAGCCTTAGACTACAATAAATTTTACATCCTCTCCTATAAACAAAAGGAGACAATTGCCCTGGCAATTACCTGAATTGTGTTTGATAGATATTGACCATTATATTCAGTCTACATGGTATTTGTGGAGTTAATATCAGTCTTTTAGATTTACTATTGAATTTTCATATTAACAAAAGTTTTCTACATGCAATTAGACCAACAAGCTAAATAAAAAGTGACTATGTTTTCAATTCATATCACATTCACAAAATGTTGACCTAAACTTTCGACATTCAATACAAAGTTTTAGGTAAATGGACTAGCTATTTAACCTGTGCAACATTCCAAAAATTCCCCCAAGCCTAGAGCTCTGACAATGGCTTGACCTCGACACTTTTATTAAAATCAACAGAGAAGTCTTACCTTCCCCATTGTAAAATGTCCTAAACTTGATGGTTTAACCTAAAAATTTAGTCGATCATTAGCTGAAAATTCCACTAGTAACCTTGAAAACCTTCATTACAAGAACTTGAAAAATAAATGACAAAAAAATTAAATTAATTACGAATTTTCAGATGAATTATATACATCTCTGAGTATATTTTTTCAAATATGAGTGTGCTACTTTTTCTTGCATCATTACTTTTACAATATCCCTGAAAGACAATAGTAAGCATACATGTTACTGTTAAATAGATACAAACAATAATTATATATTTAAAACAATTTATGCTTTTTGAAATGAAAAGCTTGCTTAATATTTTTTCTTATTACTATCTACTGTTGTGATCCATAAATCAAAACAACACACTGATGCAGAAAGTTTTTTTTCTTCAATATCACAAATAATTAATATCATCTTCATTAAAAACTTTGTACTGACAAGAATTGTATGTTTGTAAATCTGCTTAGAACAATGAGTATGGAATTAAAAAAAAAGATGATAACGGCATTAGATCAAAATAGTTTAATTTTTAAAAATGTAAAAAAGGGGCAGATGGGTAAATTTAATATCAACAAATCAATGACAAAAATATTGACTTTTAAGATCTTTAAAATGTTTTTTTTACTTACTATGTTGACAAGTCTTTGTATAATTATTTAATTGCAATAATAATGCTTTGTCAGTTTTATTGTTCAGATATCAACAATATTATAATAGGATTAAGTAAGGGCTATTCCATTAAAATGTATGTGGGAGGGTAGGAAGGGAAGTTTAATTATTGAATGTGGGTCATGGGTCTTTTTTCAGTATGCTTCTATTACCATTATGCAAAATTATCTAAAAAATGGTTCTTGGTTGCAGGGATATTTTGAAAGTCCCTTCCAACCCTCCCACATACATTTTAATGGACTAGCCCTAACTGTCAATTAACCAAATTTTGTTTTTATTATCACAACTTTCCTCTGAGTACAAAATTAAAATGAAGATAAATCGCCATAAATATGTGAAACCTAGATCCCCTTTGTGAGTACATCAATAAAATTAGAAAATTACAAAAAATGAAGTCAGCTGGATATGGCAAAATAAACTAAAAAAAGTATCTTCAAAGTAACCTGAAAAAAATGAGTTGGTTTGCAGTATTTTTGTCTGATCTCAATGGAATCATTAAGATTAATGTCAAAATTTTGGTACAATAAAAATGAAAGACCCACAAATCAAAACAAATGTGGCCTAATAATACATGTTATATCAATAAATACACTGTAATATCAATGAATACACTGCTAGATGAAAATATCTTTTTCTATTTTTTTTATATGAATATTTTGATAATCATGATAATGGCAAGAATAAAATATATTGTGTTGCCATAGAAAAATCTGAAAATAAATATGGTCTGTTGGATTTTTCATTATTTAACACAAATATTTATTTAAAATATATCACATATAGGTAAATATGAAATATAATTAAAATCCATTTAAAGTTTAGTCTGAATCTAATATTAACTTAATGGTAATGTTTTTGTATCCTCTAAATCTAGTAAATTGTACAGAAATTAACAGAACCAATGCTTATCAATAAATAAATGCTGGAGATTGATCTTGATTTAGCAAATAACAAATTGACCACAATTTCCAATTTTCATTGAATTTTTCATACATAGGAAGGCAATACACAAAAATCTGAGTGGGTGGTGAATAAAAGAGAGGCATATAAGTATATGGTGCAATAACATTTTTTTTCTTTTAATTTCTTTTAATTCCCAGGCCAAAAGATAAAGTTGTGATACCATGTACATGAACATTCCATCACCCACTCAAAATGTTTCACAGATTTTATGATTTTATTAGTTAACTAAATAATGAAGAAACTACCAGTCTACGGCAACATTTTCAGAAAAACAATGATACTTATTACAGTTTTGTTTAAAATTTCTCATAAGCTTGTTTCTTTATCAATTTCTGGTTAAAAAATACATTTACAACATCTTAGTCAATCAAGCATACATAATTAACAGAATGTATTTGTCTCAAAATTTTCAACAGCTGCCATACTTTCAAAATACATGATTAAAAGCAAAGTAAATGTGATGTACAGCTACAAGCTACAAGCCTAGACAAATAATTATGCCATCACAAAATTTAACTACAAGCTTCAAGAGTGGAAAATAACTAGGGCAACTCATTGCATAGAATAACAAGACCAGATATAAAACTGCTGACATAATTGTTTAACAGGAAATTTTCATTCAGGTTTGATTGAGAAAATACACAACCATTTTACATTCCGACATTGCTATTACAGATAATTGTCATGCAGTGTGGTTTTAGTAGTCTGCATCTCAGGTTGCCATCTTTTATGTTCCATTTCTTTTTTATTATCATTGGTTGTGTTTAGGGCTATCAAAATGGTTGTGGGAGGGATTTCCAAAATTTCCGACAAACGATATACTTTCTTTGAGAATTAAATGGACATTCAACCACAAATAACCAATGTCATAAAATGAGCTTTCCTTTCATAACACAATACACCCATCCTAATGGAATGACCCTAAATTCTTGTTTTCACCAAATTTATTTTCTAATATGAGCAGCTTATGTGTAAGAAAGCAAAATTAAAACTGACATGAATAGTTCCTGTTTAACAGTATTGTTATATCTAGGAATTCTCTAATCATATTTCTAAAAAGTAAGGTTAGAACACAACATAAATTGCACTGGGTTAGCACTATGGACAAGCACAAAACAAACAAAATAATAACAGCACCAAATCTCCCTAGTCATGGAAATAACTACTATTCATTATATTGGTAATCTACAATGTACACCAAACATTAAATCAATCCACACGAAATAAATTTTGGTAAAATATGTTTAAAGGAAATGTTTGCTGCAGGAGTTTCTAAAAGAATATGTAAAATGGTTAAACGATGAGTGAGAGAAAGACAATACATAATATAAACAATTGATAATGATAAAAATTTTACAAAAATTTCATGGGCGTTTTCATCATGGTGAAGTTCATACTTTTCATTACCTTAAATGACAAAAAAAATCAGACTGGACAGTGTGTTTATGGCTAGAGTTGTCTTTTCATAAAGAAAAAAAAATACACTGAAAATCCAAATAAATTCAATAATAGCCATGAATGAAAGATAAATATTTCATTGTAAACTACTATAAAACCATATACATGGTCCCAAAACTTATAATGTCCACTGAACATTACACAAATACAGTTTCTGTAAAAATACTTATCTAATGCATTTATACATGGAAAAATGTGACTGTCAGAAGAGAAATAATTTTAACTTGATTTATTATGGACATATGAATTTGCAGTTACAGTCAACAATTACTTGCATGAAGCTCAACTTAATTTACATTTGCAGTTTGAACCATATTATGCCTAATATTTTACAGACAGATATGCATGTATTTTTTGTGCACAAAAATGTAAAAAAATTACACAATAATAAAATGCTGGAATTTCACAGATTCGACCCTGAATTTTACAAAATATCACAGTTTAAGCAAACACATGTTGTGTCTACAAATGACACACCAACTGGGTTTAAGGTGGGACTTGTGTTACAAAAACTGGCCTGGTTAAAGTTTGTTTAAGTCTGTAGTTTACATCTATTTAAAAAAGCTAAAAATCAAAGAATATATTTATATACATTTGAAAAGCCAGAAAAATTCTACGACCTGGTGCATGTATACTGTAAATTGTAAATTTTTGAAAAGGGTTCATTTTCACTAATTTCGCAATAAAGATAAAAAGGTGAAAAATGTCCCCTCTTGAAAATTTGACTTAAGCTAATTCAGGATCAGGGCAAAAGAAAAACTTGAAAATCAAACCTGGAAAATGTTCAGTCAAATTAATTGTTAAAATTTTAAATCTGTAATACCAAATTAAATTTCCATTTATGGCGAAGACTTGAGGGTTTAAACTGATGAATTATGAATGTATGCTTCTATAAATGAATATGAGAGACATTTGTTACATAATACACGATATCATTCACTGATGCTGACAAATTAACATGGGATTGGTATTTTGCTACATACATTTGGTTTTTGAAATTCATTATCAAGAAGTCAGTATATATTATTGTTTTTACAAAAAGTATTAAAGTATTTTCTGTTTCTTTTGTCATAATTTCTGTCAATTCGTATCACAGAAAAAATATACAAATTTTAATCAAGAATAATTCTTATATAATTTCTTAGTTATTAGTAATCCCTCTTTGAACACATAATTATAAATAAACTCATTATAACCTTAATAAAAATATCATCCACATTTTCTTGTTTTACAAGACACTGTTACATTCTGAACCATAGTCAACACCTATACTATTTAAAATGGCAATGCATTTATTATATCATTATATAATGGACTATTTTCATATATTTGTAATAAATAACTAAAAGATAACACCAATATATTTGCATGTATATTTGCTGGACTGGATATGAAGTGACTAGATGTCATAACTGGTTCATGTTTAGACTAAATCATCTTCAACTTGGTCTGGCTTCTTTTTCAGACTCTTCATCTGTACCGACACCATTCACTTGAGGACAATTTTTTTTATTGTCAATGTCAGATTGTCTCCCCTTATCTATATCTGCATTTGATATACCACTGTCTCTACTGTTATCAGGGGCTGCACTCCCTGTTTTATCTTCATCACTAGGATCCTGATCTTGTTCCGAATCTTCTTCCTCTTCCTCATCACTTTCACTTCCTTCCTCAATTGTACTTGATAGCACTGAAAAAGTTTGATATTGTTAGTTTGATATTCCCTCTGCACACATAAATGTAAAAACAAGATTCATACAATGAAAATTATCTTACAACAATTTAGGCCAAGGCATACCCACCCCCTTTGCACTCTCATTATTAGACAATTAATGAAAAACTCCATGCTCAGTGGGTATAACAAAAATTAAATGCATCATCAAACAGGAAGTGACTGTCTGCCACATCTGGAAATTACTTCTACAGTACAACTTAATATTATAAATTTCCAGACCAAATATCAAATCATTCATTACTTTTAAGGTGGATCATCATTAAATATTTCCTCAGATGGAATTTTCTTATATTTTGCCAAAATGTAGATTTTACCATGTTTTTTTCCCAAAAATATTTTAAAAATGTATCGATCACCGTGCGGTTTTTCAAGCTTCAAGTTGTCCAAAACTGCCCAATTTTGCATAGGTTATTCGTGAAAAAACACTTTTTGGAAGAGAAAGAATTTTAAAATAAACTATGAAAAGATAGGTTTTATAATTGCTTTTAGAAATTAAAAAGAAAGAAATGGTGTCTCCTAAATTGTTTTCCTGCTACAAGTAAAAAATGAAAATTTCTTAAACATTCCTTGATAAAAAAATTAGAATGATCTCCCCTTATATGGCTTAAAGTTGAAAAATTGAAACAAACAATAACAAATATTTGGTATTTGTAAAAACAGTCTAAATAATACAATAAATCACATATTTTTCTTTATTTGAATACAAGTCTAACATATTAATTGCCATTCTGTCTCATAATTTGCAGATTTAAGCAAAGAACTAGACCGATTGTGAACTGCTATTTGACAATCCAAGATGGTGATATACAGTTAATTTACTTTAAGCACAAGACCAGGACCTTATGCATCTCATATACATGTTATATAAGGTTTTTTTTAATTTCACATACATGTACTATGCTTTCAAATAATATGTATGTGCTTAAATGTCAATTTTACGCCCTTCAAATCCTGTTTTGAGGTATAAAAGTTATATCATGGAGGAGTCCACACCTCTCATTTTGGAAATTCTCCATTAATCATTGAAGTTTGCAGGTCTTGGATAGAATCAGAAATTTAGGGGGATGGAGTTATTGCACTTAGTTACAGGCATGCAAATAGATATGAAGAGCTATGTCAACCCCTCTCATGTGGAAAATCTGCCAATAATCCTTAAAATTGGCATGTCTAGAATGAAATCAGAAAATTTAGGGGGATACAGTTATTATCCCAAGTTACGAGCATGTGAAATCCTTTTTATCATAAAAGTGTACTTAAACTGCAAATCATATGTTCAGGGAAGCTTTTTCAAAGTAATGATTGGATATTTATTTTTTTGTTTTTTGCCATGGCATTGTCAGTTTGTTTTCGACTTAGGCATTTGAATATCCCCTTTGGTATCTTTCGCCTCTCTTTTACAACTTATTATATTTACCAAGTTTATTTCCAGAACTAGTTGACATGGTAGATGGTGGAGGCACTTCTAACTTAGGTGCAAAAGGTCTCTGTTTCTTAGCCATGTTCATCTGGTAGCAGTAGCAACATCTAAAACCTATTGACAATAAGTAGTAACATTTGAAAATATTAAGAAGACCTATTTTCAAGTTTAAATCTTAAGATAAAAGTTTTCAAGGGCTAAAAATATTCAAAAGTCATCTTTAAATTTTATTTCATCATCCAAAAAAGTAATTATTGATTACTTTTATCAAAATTGCTACCTGAATTTATCATATATGCATGAAATTGTGTCATACATCAAGACATACAATTTAATGTGATTTTGAATGGAATATATACAGCAGATTCATTTATTTTCGTGGGTACCAACTTTCGTGGATTGAGTAAAACTTGCATTTTCAAGGATATTTCATTTCATGGTTTTGCCAAATTCTGAATACAAGCCTAAAGGAAATTCGTAATTCTTCGAACATTTAAATTTGTGGTTCCCCTGTACCCATGAAAACTGGTATCTAATGAATAATAATGAATCCACAGTACCTAAAATAAACTGAAAACAAGCAGATAAACTTTTTAAACTGTTCTTTATAGTATCTTGTTTACTAAAGGGATGTCAAAAATTACTATATTTTTAAACAGCAGTTCACTTAAAGTTGATATATCAGACTCATGATTTTGTATATTAATTTGATATTTTGGCTCATTAAGGACCTCAGCAAAACATTTTGACTGTACATATAGCAAATTTCTTACTTATATATTCAAATTCCTCTTTTAAAGCCATTCCATTATGAGAATGACAAAATCTACATATGAGAGCATATCTGTTTTGTGGTCCATCTCCAACAAGATATTCTAACACTTTATCCATTGCTGACCTCTCACGGGGTAATATAGGCCTTGGTAAAGGTGGTCCCCTAACCTGATCTAAAAAGAAACCATGATATTGTAGTACATATATAAAGACTATTTTCCCAAAAAGTAATCCAATGAAATGGTAATGAATATCAAGTAATTTTACTCTGAAGCTCCTAAGGATTTTTTTGTGAAAAGAGTCTCTGATCTCTGCCTTTCTTGGATTGTCTCAATTTTGTATTTTTCTGTATAATTTTGACTTTGGATTTATTTAAAAAATTTTACTGTTCAATGAAAGTTTAATTTTCCAATTTTTTAACTTTTTGTATGATTAACCAGTTGAACCTTGTATAATGGCCAGCAGCAAATATAACATGCATATATAGGATGATATCATAATCAGATATCAATATAATCTGCTTTTACAGCAGCTAGGTCACAAAACAAGACCTTAGGAAGACATGTTTTTTATTATCCATATTATTGTACCATAATTTCCATTCATCTGAGGAGTGACAAGAGCTCGTGGTCTCATTCCAGAACTTTGAGGATGTCTAGGTGTTGACTGTGGTGTATTCATCCTTAATCTAGGAGTACCATGTCTTGTTTGATAAGGGGTGGCTGGTCTCACCTGTGGTGTTGGTTTGGCATTGGAAGGTAAATTTCTTTGTCGTAAAACTGAAAATAGAATTATACATATGTAGATTTCATGAGTATCAAAACATTCTTTTCAGAAGATATCAAAAGAAAGACTGCTAACAGCCTCTTTAGACAACTACAAATCAACTATTTACAAAACTTTAAATTGTTTGAAATATTAAAGATTTTCTACCTAAGGAATTGATAACATAAGCTGAATTTGGCAAAACCTTTCAGAATTTCTGGCCCTTAATTCTCTTCAACACCTTACTTTATTTGGCCTTTTAACTGACATATAAAGTTAAAAGCCTGGTATATTAGACGATTTGTTTTTAAAATACAATATAAATACACACGTCCCTCCATTCTCACAATTAGTCTTTCACTTCAAATACTTTCAAGGGGTAACTTAGTTCCCAGAAATATACTTTTTACATCAAGTAAATTTTCAATAGAAATGTAAATATTTACATACCAGATCCCTCATTAACTTTTGGTGGTGATGGTCCTGGGGTCTAAAAATATATATACATTAGTAATTCATAATACGCCTAAGAATAAATTATCTATCAACATTTACAATTTTTTACATTTTTTATTTTGCAATGCTGAGCAGGGGATATTGAAATAATGGAAGTCATATGTCTGTGTATCCAGTCTTTGTAAGTGCTCTCAAGCATACAATTCTTGCCAGTTTTTTTTTATAATGCACAGGAATTATATACCTTTGCAAGAAAAATTGCATTGTTAGCACTCTCATATCCACATTTCTTGTTGAATTGTTACGAAATTTATATCATGGGTCTATAAAAGCAAGGTCTTAGATAAGTTCAATAATTAGAGCCAAACAACTTTTTTCTACTTATTAACAGGAGCTATGCTCCTTGGAAATAAAAATTATATGGAAACTTGCATAGTAAGAGATCTCATGCCTTCTTTTTTGTAGGGTATTTATGAAAATGTTAAAAGAATAAAAGTATATTGACGTAATTGCCCACAGGGACTTTTGGAATGCTGTTCTTTTAAACTGGCCCTTTTCTTTTTGAAAGAGGATAACACTTTACATTTATTTGCCAAGTCCCTACAGTTTTCTAGATTGAATCTAAGGACAGATGGAAACAGTTTAATGAAAGGGGCACTTTGGCAGAGTTTATGTTTTCCCATTAGACTTTTATTACCTTGCCTAGCACATTATGTGCCTACCTCTAATTGTTTAAATCTGGCAGGATCATACTTTTGTAGTATTTCTCTAGCTTTCTTGTAAGTTTCTGTTTCCATAACATCTTCAAGCTATTAAAATAAAATTCTAAAAATTTGATAAACTGTTTATAAACATTTGTACAGTACACATATGGTGATTTATTTTAGAAATAGTTAAACAAGGATTCTTTGGTACGTTTTATAAATATTCCTCCGCATATGATGGGGCTATTATATAACAAAACTATTAATCAGATTCTTTTTTGGTTGACTGATGCCTTAAAACATAGGTATTCATCAAATTTTTATGAAGAGCATACTGATTTTGATATAAATAAACTTTATATCTAAAGATTTCAAGAGTTACTTAATATCTTCCCTTAAAAAGAAATTGTAATTAATATTTTTTTTTTGTATTTGGAAAAAAAATACCACCTATCACTACAGAATAATATAAATATTTGAATTCAAGGAAATAAATCCTTTTTCTGTATAAAAATTTTATAATTTCAGTAAAAATCCCTTCTGGCATTTGTTATGTAGGATGACAATCTTTCATTTTGTATTTGTACCACTATACATTTTTAAAAATTTTTTCAAAACAATTTAGGCAATTTTTTATCTGTATAACTACTTTTTCTTAAATTGATGTTGATAAATGTTAACAACTTACAATTTTTTTCTTGTTTTCCTGTAGTTCATTTAAAGCCAGATCTGAAAAAAGTAAATAATTTACAAATAAACTATATTGTACAAATTCAAATAACAAACTACAAATATAGTATCAATTGAGAAATAAAAATCTACATATAGGCTTCATTAATAAGAGTGATCATCACACAAAAATAATTTTGTTTTGTAGTGTGTTGATCCATCATTTTTCCATAGGATCAGTTTTCTAATACATTACTTTTTCTACTGATAGAAATGTTCATCCTCCAAAAACCTCCCATGTAAAAACCTTCTCTTTATCTTATTTCTTTATTTATAACTTAAGTACTGAATATAAACTTAAATTAACACGATACCTTCCATAATTGTAACCAAGTCTGGTCATGTCTTCCATGGCGACTGAAAGTTTTGGAGAATGAAATGCTTGGTTATTTTGTTTCTTAATTACCTGGTCCTTGTATCTGTGAAACTAAAACAGGTTATGAACAGAAATGCAAGTTTAAGTTGTAAGCTACATGTATATGTCAAACAGAATAAAATTCAATCTGTTAGGATGCGAGATGTTCTATTAAGAATGTAGCTAAAAGTAGTGCAACATAACCTCATCAAATTAACCATACATATTGGTATAGATTATCTGCTGTGTGTATACCTTCTCTTTGATTTTATGTTCCTTTGTCACACATTACTTCATAAAAACCATTGTTTTCAAAATAAAACAGAGGAAAAAATCTTTTGAAAAAACATACCATTTTTTGTGATTCTTTTTACATAATACCAATGAAGGAATTTCTTCAATAACAAAATCCTGCAAAAAAAAGTTAAATAAATCACAAATACATGACATATATATATACAATGTATATTAGACCCAGGAAACATGTATTTATAAGGTTACTGCTAATTATCCAACCCTTCTCCAAGTCATCCACATTTCTGATGCTACAAAACTATATTTTATCTTATTCTCTTCTATGTATGAAATAATTGATGCTCAAAGTTAAGGAAACAATAATCAAACTAACATCAGTGTAGATACTTACACAATTTTTATAGAGATTTTTGGTCAAATACATCTGTAGTACTAACAGGGATGATTCCAGCTGTTTTCAAATGGGTCCCTTGACCATCAAATTGGGAATTTATCCCAATTGGGAATTTTTTATGCATAAAATCTTAGATGAAATAACATTATTTTCCTGTAAAAATGGAAAATGTATATTAAGTTTCATCTGTACACTGATGTAAGAAGTTGTAACATTTTGAATAATTCTGGATGGGCTACTGAGTATGATGTATATATCATATGTGATAACCAGATCGCTTGACAGTTATTTGATGGAGACCAGGGAAGTTGTTACATTAAAAGATCATAGCACATGCTGCACCATCTATTATAGGCTTGCATCTTACAATGTAGCTATGGTAACCTAGGCCATTTACAATAATATATATATCAGCTAACATGAACCACTGAAAAAAATCTTTATAAATTTACCTTGATTCAAAGTGATTTCAAATTGAACTGGCCAATTGTCGAATTCAGAAAAGCAATTACAAAAGTTTATATTATACTTTATAATTGATAAGATATTTTGTGATTTTTGCTTGCTGTTTAGTATGTAGAAGGTTGTCATAGTTTAACTTTTGGTGTCACTCTAAGAAACAGGAAATTAAAGCATTGAACCATTGTATTCAAATATTATTTTGATCATCTTCACAACTTTTGAAACAGTTCCATAATGTCGACATCGTATTAATAATTTCATGAATGATCTATCAAAAACGCTCAAACTTATGACTTTTGCGGAAATAGAGCCTGACAATATATAAAATAATTTCTTTTACAAAGTTTTTATCATATTATTTAACCGGCTCTGCTGGGCGATCTCCTTTTACGAGATCGGCGCGAGATCGGAGCCCACTAACATTAATTCATCAATGTTATATCAGACTTTGAATTTTGCTCTCTGTCGATGTCTGCCTTGATGACACCCATTTTGATCTTTTTATCAACCTGCTGGGGGATCTGCTTTTTTGAGATCAAATACTCTTAATAAAATAAAATCATTTAGGCCACATGTTGACCTAATTTAATTGTTGTTAATAAAGTGAAATCGTTGACAGCATGCTTTTCCAGATTTTAAAACGTTTTGATGACAAACTATGAAAAATTATAGTTGCCTAAATCGATGACGGAAACATTTCCGGAAATATCGATTTTTATCTTATTTTTCCTGAATTGGGAATTTATATTCACATAAATTTTTTTGGGGCCGCCGGCCGATTTAAGGGCCGCTAAGCGGCCCTAAACTATATAGTGGAATCATCCCTGACTAAATTCTGGTTATTTTTCCTATCATGGTTATATATGATAGAATCTATAAAGCTTTTTGATTAACAAAAACATTTTTTAACATTCCTGAACTAAAACATTATGTTCTAGTGAAAATAGCACTACTAAATCACAAAATTATATCTGAATTTCTCAAGTCACTGGCCAACTGTGCTTTCTGTTCGTATAAGTCTTAAGAACATTTTCAATTTCGAAGTTTCATGTAATTTATATCAAGCACTTGTTAATGCAGAGCTATGACTACAATAATAAACTGCTTCGCTGAGCGCAGCTGGATACGCCCGCAAAGGTCCAACCCTGAACAGTAGGGGCAAAAATGGACACAATATTCAAGCTTGATACAGGTCTGAATTTGGATTGTATTAAATATTTGACATATTATAGGTTTCTGAATAAATGTAGTCAAAGAATTTGAAATTGGTTATATGAATTGAATTTATATTCAATTAAAGATTTCTTGCTGTTGTGCAATACACTGTGCTGTTGCGCAATACTTAGTAAATCTGTTGTCAGACTATAAACAATTAAAGTTCAATTAATTCTCAATGTCATATTAGAAATTTATGAAAATGTAAAGGGAGCTTACATCAATAGATATAAACAATTCACCAAAGTTTCATGAGAATTGCTGACAGCACTTTGAGTTATTGTCCGAAAACTGGAAAATCCCCCCTTTTTAATGACTAAAACCCCATAACTTAGAAATGTAAAATGTAAAATTTATAAAATTCTAAATGGAGCTTACATCAATAGATGTTAACAATTCACCAAAGTTTCATAAGAACTGCTGAAAGCATTTTTGATTTATTGTCCGAAAACTGGAAAATCCCCCTTTTTTTATGAATAAAACCCTGTAACTCGGAAACATAAAATCTAAAATATATAAAATTCGAAAGGGAGCTCATGTCAATAGATATAAACAATTCACCAAAATTTCTTGCAAGTTGGTGAAAGCATTCTTGAGTTATTGTCCAAAAACTGGAAAATCCCCCTTTTTTTAATGAATAAAACCCCATAACTCGGAAATGTAAAATCTAAAATTTATAAAAAACGAAAGGGAGCTCATGTCAATAGATATAAACAATTCACCAAAGTTTTATGCAAATTGGTTAAAGCTTTTTTGAGTTAATGTCCGACATGTTGACGACGGACGGACAGACGGACAACGGTATACCATAATACGTCCCGTAAACGGGCGTATAAAAAGCTTGAACTCTAACCATAAACTTACAAAATTGGAAATATTAACAGAGGTGATGAATATATCAGTCTTTTTGTCCATGTGGGTGGTAGGTAGTAAAAGTAAAAAATCAGAGCTGCACCAATATACATCACAATAGAATACAATATCAAACGTCCAATGAATTTCTTTTGTCTCTCTTGGTTCTGTCGGCGAAACTGTTGCAAACTGGATATTTGCTAGAATGAAAATTTATAATAAACAATCAAGTTAAATATTCCAAGCAAGTGCATAAGACATATATGTGCAGAAACAAAGCAACTTCTTACAAAAACAACAACAAAATCATTATCTTCAATGGCTTCTTCAAAAATATTTTGGAATAGTTAACCTTGAATGCTTAATTGGTACAACACTAACAACAGATAAATATATTTCTTTTTTAATATACAATTCAAATTCTTGTACGACTTCAGATTTGCCCAGGGTAACTCCAACAATACAGGTCAATTGTATGGTGTGATCAAAATAATAAACTAAAAATTTTGTTGTAATAATCTTTACAGTTTTATCTTTCATCAATATTGGGATATGTACACAGTTTACATAAAATTTACCTTGTCAATATCATCTAATATCTCAATGGTAGACTTCTTCTTCTACAAGAAAAAAAATAAAAGTAATTATTTGTATTGATAAAGATTTGCAAGTCTTTAATTGATAACATGTGTCATCTGCCATCTCCAAATAATATAGTTATACTGTATATCAGGTATTTTTTACATGTTTAATTTTCGTGCCAGCTAAGTAAATGCAAAATTTTACACAGCGTACATTTCCCTGTATATTCGAAAATTTATCACTGTTATAGAATTAAGATTCTTACATTGGTACCAGTGGATTGCAAAACTTATCCAATCGAGAAAGTTAAATTATCAAATTTTAAAGTGAGAGCCTCCATGAGGACTTTTAAATTGATAATTCAGTTATCAAGATTGCATAAATCTCATAATCCACAATTATCTATGAAAGAATCTGTTTCTCTAATACTTATCAAATAAATTTTCATTTTTGATCAATGAAAATCCCCTTCGATATGTGTAACTTCAAGGCATATTTGAGCGGCGATCGATGTTACTGCACTTTTCTTGTATCCCTGGTGCTTTCGACTGAAGAATTGTCGTACACAAGCATCACACAAGTTGGCACTCCGAGGCGGGTGGGGAGCAAGAAGGTGAACTGTGGTTTATTTTTATCAATAGTACCGCTTAAGTCGACGCTAGGGGCCGTCTTGACCTTGTTGTAGGGTATGAATGATTTGTTCACTGTTGAAGACCCTACATCAACTGTCAAGAAGAAGAACAGGAATAAAAGCCCTGTTCATTGATAATTTTCTATGTTTTCTCTATATTGTGTGCGATGATTTTGTCCCATGTACATTTACTCCATATCCTTTCATTTTCTATTCGAGTGCCTTCAACATTCCACAAAGTTGTCAATTTCATTAACACCTGTTAGCACATTTTGATTCATCCAGTGAGCTGATAAAGGTTATGACCCATAGACTCATCCAATCATCTTCTGAGATCATCTGCAACCATACGTTGATTAATTTTTTCATATACAATGGGTCTGGAAAGGGTTAAATTGCCAAAGAATTAGAGAAATTCTTTTCTTCTATAAACTGTTCATTATCAAGTAATCACAAAGTTGATATATGTAAACTCTGTTCACCTAAAGACGAAATAACATTATACAGAAAATCACAAGAATGTGCATATTCAATTAAAATCTCTGTTTATTTAATAATTAATTTATCTAATCATGCGTGTCATACCTTTTGACAACACAGCAATAAGAAACATGTTTATAAATGTAAATAAACGAAAATGTATATTAGTTTGTATTACTCATATTTTGCTGTTGCAGATTTATCTGTCAGACATTGTCAGATAATCAAGTTTATGTTGTTTACATCTTAATCATAATATACTCGTGAATTTTTTTCTCATGTATTTTCCCAATCAGTGAATATAATACACAGTGTAAAATTTAACTTGCTTATTGGCATAAAATCGTGAAAAAAAGATGACGTGAAAAACACAATATACAGTTAGGCAGAAATGGCTTAGTCCGTGAAACAACGCAGATCAAATTTGATATAAGAAAATTATCTATTCTCAGAGGCAAAGTACACAGAAAAATAATAGGAATATTTCTTCCATTAAATGGCAAAATTCTGAAAAATAAGTACATGGTTTCATTCTCTTTAAACAAAGGCCAACTGATTACCGGAATATTGGTAGAAGCAAAACTGTCAACACTCAAACTATATTTAGCAGTGTGATAGACACAGGATAGTTTATAGTCAGTCAGGGGTACTACTTGTACAAGTAATTTTTATTTACTTGAAGAAGGTAATATTTATATACTTATATAAGTAAATTTGTAGGATACTTATACAAGTGTATTTTATTTACTTGTATAGGTAAAAAAAAATTGGGCTTAGTTATGTCCCTTAGACATTCAGATTTTTTTACTTATACAAGTAAAAAAGTCATCCTATCTTCTTTTCTTGAATTCTTAGGACTTCTTTGCTCTAATCGAATTTTTGATTGTCTGTCCTTTGCAGATGTCTTTACTAATCATTTAAGTGTAATTTCATGGACAATGAAAATCTCATTTGTCTGTTATCTTCAGAACACTGCTCATTTACAAGCCCCCAAGGGGCAATTTTTGAAGGCCTTGCGCAAATACTTAAGATCTTTGCACAATCAGTTTATTTGTTGAATTAATGAGATGAAACATTGAACTCTAATCAAAAATTATGAGCTAACCTGAGAAAAATTGTTAAAGGCATGTTTTTACATCTCAAAACTTGAGAATTTTTGTGGGATTGTAAAAAAAATTTACTTATACAAGTAAATTTTTTAGAAAATTAAGGGGAGATTATTCAAACATTATAATTAACTTATATAAGTTTATTTTATTTACTTCTTCAAGTAAATAAAGATTACTTGTACAAGTAGTACCCCTGACTGATAGTGGTGCCTTTGTTCAATGTTACATAACGACATGTACTGTGAATTGATAACCAGGGGAAATAATAACTTTTTTTTTTTATAGCAGTGATAAGCCATACATAAGAATGGATAGAGACAACTTTTAAAAATGTCATCTTTAAAATACAAATTATCTTTAAACTAAAACAAAAATTTACAAGTTATAAATTGGATACATGTAACAACAGACAATGTACCATTAAAAAACATAAATAAAAAAAAACTAAGCTTAAACTTGTTAAACAATTGTTCTTCAGTGTCACAGTTGCAGAAAGTTCTTAAGAATAAACTACAGCTCAGCAATCAAGACAAACACAGCAGTATATTATTAAACTACAACAGAGTCTCAATTTTTACCTCAGTGTAATCATTTTCGGTAAAATTGATAAATTTAAGTTTTTCTGTTGAAAAATAATGAATAGAAAGAACTTGTTTTAGAGAAGATATACCTACATATGGGCAGATTTCCATTCACAACATGGCTTGTACACTTTTTTGGTGGATTTTTTTATAGTTTGTGAATCATTAAAATATTAGAATTTCTGTAGAATTGAGCCTTCAATCAATGATAAAAAGCCTCAGATCTTGATATGATACGGTGACATGACTGCTGGACATTATTACACAGCATGTCCGTCATGTAGAGATTAGTCCAAATACATACATGTACCTGTCAACTGACCCATATTCTGTGGGTTACACACGTGAATTTCCTCTTGGGATTTTTTAAATATCCGCTGGATATTCAAATAACCCAGGATTTCAGAAAATGATCAGTTTTCACCCGTATTTCTGACCAGTAGTTTCCGGTATTTAGAAGTCAAATATACATTTTGGTTTTATCAGCGTTTTTCCTTTGAAAAGGTAAACAATTGAAAAGTCAAAACTTAGGATTTGATTATTTACCATGCCAATGACCTGATGACATTTGATTGAAAAGTAACAATTCGAGAATTGTCTTGTTAATTGTACCCCAGAAAGTTGAAGCCAGTCAAGCTTGACATACAGTTGTATGTCCTGATTAAAAGATTTGCCGTTTGTAAATATCAAATCTCCTATAAAAATCATTTTAAAACAATTTGACCCTTTTAATGCATTTCTGTTGGAGAGAATAATTTTTTTATCAGTTAAATGTAAAAGCTTTAAATCAAATCCATATGCTCTAGATATTACACTGAAAGGAAACACACTAACTTCTTTCTATTTATCTTCCTCCTGTGTAGAGGAGCACATAAGCTATAATTGATTTCTAATTACATATATAACAGAGGTTTATGACAATAAAAAGTAGTGTGAATAAATCAATAAGAGGGCATTGCTTTAGAAAGATATTTAATTAACGATAAATATTTATATAATTAACAAATACAAAAGTGAATATTTGTAGGAAAATCAGTGGTACATGTATGTGTTATAGTAGTACTAAAATTGAACTGAAAAAAGTTTGTATGCTTTATGACTTTCTTCTTCAATACAGGTCATGACCTGCATTTTCAGTTTCAGAGGTTGACAGGTATGCCAAATACCCCCTCCCTAACTCATTTCAAGAATCTATATTTTCTCTAATATTGATCATATAAATATCTGAATCTGTTTATTAATCCTTAGTTTAGTTTTAACAGTATTTATTAATGAAAATTATAACAATGAAGTAGTACAATTTTACATAAAAGAAGCTTTTATAAATCCATCTCCAGGGTATACAAATAATTACTAGGCATTAAACATTAATACCACTATATTATTATTTTTAAAGGTAAGGCGAACGAACCCAGGGCAAACAGACTCTGTGGGCGAACGAACCCAGGGAAAACATGTAATCAGGGCTAACGGACCTGATACCCTTATACATGTGAACCTCCCTAACGATATCAGCAAATGTACTCGATTCTATCTGGTGGAAAACGAGGGTGGATTTACTGGATGACATGATATTAAATATTCATTGACATATGTGTTTCCGTATACCAGAGACGATGGGTAACTATTGCCTCTCGGCAAAAACTTTTGTTCTCATTGGAGTAGTGTCAAGTGGTATTTGGTTTTGATGTTTAGCTTCCTTGATCTGTTGAAAACTGTATAGACCCCCCTTTTTACTGTTAGTTCTATCCAACACTGAATTCCTAAATAGTTTCTACCAAACATGGTCCTGAAATTTGGTCAACTGAAAGATATTACACATTAAATAAGTAATGCTTGACTGATATCATTTCACTGAATAGACGAAAAAAGGAGTTACATGTTTTGTGACAGCTTGTTCATTTTCTGGAGTTTTCTTAGCTTTTAAGGAAAAGGCGACACTACATACTCTGAATCTGGAAAGAAGGATACCCATTGTAAACTTCTAAACTATAATGTATGTCTGTGTTATTCAAGTTATCTTTTATCCATACGAAATAATTGGTCCGACAAGCTGCACATTTCCCGTTTTCAATTTTGTGTGTGTTGACGTGCTGCCCTCTGTGAGGAAACGGAAGCAGTTAAAATTGTTACATTTTGATTGGTTAATATGAGAGAATGAATAATAATTAGCCATGTGGTTTTGTTTACATTTCTTTTCTACTTTCAAAGGTGCCAGCTAGGGCAAACAGTTCTAATATCTTTTTTCTCATTTATTATCCACCTTTTGTACAGAAAAATGTCATACATTTATTATCTGATTATAGCAGAAATGATGAGTGAGTGTCAGAACCATTAACATGATTAAGTGTGAGTAATAAAGTAAACATGATTAATGCATGGACTTTTGGTATAATATCATTGGCAAAATATCATACATCAGACATTCATTAATACCATTGTATTAAAGCCAACCGTTGCCTTGTTTTAAAGCCAAGATTGATATTCACAACGTATACATACGGACAGATACAGACAGATTGAGATAATAATAATTGGCTTCTTCTTTTCTCGGTTGGCTCGATGTGTTTATGTGTGCAGTGACGTCTTGGATTTCAATAGACATATTATTTTACATATTCGTCTTTGGTATCTTGTGGACAGTGAGTCTCATTTGGCCATTATACTACATCTCCTTATTTTTATAGAATATTTCATTAATTTGTCATACAAAAAAATAAATATCAAGCAGGATATAGATAATTAGACTTTTTAGACTAAAATCAGCAAAGACCCATCGAGACAACATCTGATTCAAAAATTTAATATCACTTTTAGATTTTTAGATGATATATTGGCTCTCAATAATGACGACTTCAGTATGTACACTAAAGAGATGTATCCTGCCGAATTGACCTTAGATAAAGCTAATACTAACAATGAACACTGTCCTTTCCTGGATCTTGATATCTATATCTTTAACGGGAGCTCAATACCAAAATTTATGACAAAAGAGATGATTTTTCCATTTTTAGATGGTGACGTTCCCTTGTCACCATCTTATGGTGTTTATATACTAGTATCTCAACTTGTTCGATTCGCTCGTGTATGTAACAACGTATTGAATTTAACGAAAGAAATCTCTGTATTACTGAAAAATTATTACACCAGGGTTTTCGACATCACAAACTAGTCAACGCATTTACTAAATTTTATCTTCGGTACAAGGACATCATTCGTAAATATAAATTAACATGCAGACATCTTATACGTTCAGGTATTTCACATCCAATCTTTTATAGTAATATTCCTTACAAAGCACAAAAATGTCAGCACTCGCCTCAAAAGCTAACCAAACCTTTAAACAGATTTATTCGGAAGGGATATAGTTACGATACTGTTGTCAAGTCATTAAGTATTCAGCGGCATATTTTGGTATTATTGCGAACCCAATAAAAGTTTTCCACAGTGCCATCTCTATCTTGACCAGGTATTTAAACTTTTGTAAGTTCACCTGTCCTATTGAATAAATACAATAGCTATTTTTCTCTGTGTAGTTTTTTCACTGGGACCTTTAAATTTCTTCTAAGAGAAATCTATCACTCATTGATTAATTTACCTGAGTAAAAAAAAAATCTTGTAAATAGAGGAAAATAGATATAGGAAGATGTGGTATGAGTGCAAATGAGACAACTCTCCATCCAAGTTTTATACTCGAAACTGCATGTGATGTTATATTTATTCAATATTGATAATATATTTTCAATCGGTTGAATATAAACAGTGATGCAAAGTTGAAACATTAATAAAATATAAAAAGGAAGATGTGGTATGATTGCCAATGAGACAACTCTCCACAAGAGACCAAATGACACAGAAATTAACAACTATAGGTCTCTGTACGGCCTTCAACAATGAGCAAAGCCCATACCGCACAGTCAGCTATAGAAGGCCCCGAAATGACAATGTAAAACAATTCAAACGAGAAAACTAACGGCCTAATTTATGTACAAAAAATGAACGAAAAACAAATATGTAACACATAAACAAACGACAACCACTGAATAACAGGCTCCTGACTTGGGACAGGCACATACATACAGAATGTGGCGGGGTTAAACATGTTAGCGTTGATTTATGTTATATTAATAATATATTAATAATATATTTTCATTCAGTTTAATATAAACATTGATTCAATCATAAAAAGTTGATTTCTGACAAAACTTTCAACATTGTTCCTTTTAAAAAAAATTTGTTTGACATGAATAAAAACTTGAAAATTATGATGTTCAAATTAAGATCTTCTTAAATGTATTCTATAACTAGACAAAAAAAAATCAAATTTCAATAGGAACATTGATAAAACTTTTGTTTGAAATCAACTTTTTATGATTGAATCAATGTTTGTATTAAACTGAATGAAAATATATTATTAATATTGAATAAATACATCATCACACGCAGTTATTCAGTATAAAAAAAGTATTTTTGTCTATATATAAGAAACATTTTTTACTCAGGTAAATTAATCAATGAGTGATAGATTTCTCTTAGAAGAAATTTAAAGGTCCCAGTGAATAAACCACACAGAGAAAAATTGCTATTGTATTCATTCAATAGGACAGGTGAACTTACAAAAATTTAAATACCTGGTCAAGATAGAGATGGCACTGTGGAAAACTTTCATTGGGTTCGCAATAATATTGATTCACTCATAGGGTCTTTGCATCGGAAATAGACACATTTATTCTAAAACCAGTTGTTGGCATGATACGGGTTATGTTCTTCTCATATATTTTATGATGGTATGATACTAAACCCCTAACGGGAGGGATTGTACTTGATATTCATATGATGAAAACGTAATCTTTCAATCAGTTTAATTGAGGTCTGGAGCTGGCATGTCAGTGACTGCTAGTAGTCCTTTGTTAATTTATGTATCATTGTCATTTTGCTAAGTTTCTTTTGTTACCTATTCTGACATCGGACTCGGACAACATTTAAACTGGGTTTTACTGTGCGTATTGCTGTGTGTTTCTATGTTTCTTTATTCTACATTGGCTAGAGGTATAGGGGAGGGTTGAGATCTCACAAAACATGTTTAACCCCGCCGCATTTTTGCGCCTGTCCCAAGTCAGGAGCCTCTGGCCTTTGTTAGTCTTGTATGTTTTTTAATTTTAGTTCATTTATATGTTTTGGAGTTAAGTATGACGTCCATTTTCACTGAACTAGTACACATTTTTATTTAGAGGCCAGCTGAGGACCACCTCCGGGTGCAGGATTTTCTCGCTGCGTTGAAGACCCATTGGTGGCCTTCGGCTGTTATCTGCTCTTTGGTCGGGTTGTTGTCTCTTTGACATATTCCCCATTTCCATTCTCAATTTTATTTATCATTTAGTCAAAAACCTTCCCGATTATTATAAAGAAAAAACTAGAGATTAATTCTCGTTGACTGAGTAAGATTCCACCTATAGACATTTAAGATGCTTAAAGACCCGAGCGGGCCAGGCCGCAAGTTTCAACCAAACTTGATATAAGGGACAGGTCATTTTCTTTCATTGAGGTGGGGGGTGGGGTGGGACATCTGGATTCCTTTGATCTTTGATTTGTTTTAAGTTCCCATCTTGAAGAAGGAAAATAAATTCATGACCCCTTCCAAAGATATGAAAATTTAACCCCCCACCCCCAAACACATTTCAATACTTTTATTATATACAACAAAAAGTACATGCAAACAATTTATATTTATGTTATTACCATCCAATACAATAGTGCACCAGTATGGGAAATACAGCTTTAAGTTGGGAAGTTGTATGTGACTACAGGGAACTTTAATGTCTTTATTTAGATATGCATGTTATTGTCTCATTGTCATTTACCACACCTTCATTCAATTTTAGCACATTGTTCCTATCCGTTATTAAAGAAGTTAATAAATTAATTTCAGATGAAAAAACTTTCCTGGAAGAAAATGTTGAAACTAAGGAATTTTTTTTCTGAATATTTGAGCCGAGCGGAGCGAAGCGAAAACAATTTATGTCTTTCCTGCCAAAAATATATTTTCTTTATTACAAGGGGAAGAGTTGGGTGTGTGTCGCCTGTCTCCATATCTCCAGGTAATAAAGGAAAATCATTCACGTTAAGACATATTAAAAATGCCACACTTGACTCCTAGATATCATCTTGAACTATTAAAATATATGCTAAATTATGAGTTTTACTAATAATGACATCTGAATCAAGTGTTAGACACTTCTGTTGAATAATCAGATACTGATTTAGAGTATTCATCAAATAAGATTTATTTGTTTTGCACTATGATGTTTCAAATACAGAATTGCTCAAATTTTGTAGAAAATTTTCGATGCCCACCCCAATCTGGAGGTATTGAAAAATTGAAAACCCCCCTTTCCATTCACAAAAATTTTCAAAGCCCCCTTTTTGAATTCCTCACCACCCACCCACCCTTTCAGGTTTCAAATGACCAGTCCCTAATCATGCTAATGGATAAGATTAGTCTCCTGTAAAAAGTTTTCAGGATACCCCAAAGACAACGGCTCTGAATTTTTAAAAGAATCTGAATCCTTCGCCACGCTCCATGAGCTTGATAATGCTAAAATTTTATCTGCATTTCACCCCCATCTTCAGGGCCCGCGCTAAAATGGTACGACGGACTAACTTCTGGTTTAGACAGGCACACAATTAACGATCGTTTCAACGCGATATATGTTGAATTGAAATCCGTTGTTATTGAAATTAAATCAGTTATTCAAATATTTGAAATAAACCCCGGACAAAGGATTTTTATTGTCAGCTCGAAGAAAAAACCTGAACATGAAGTCATGTCGAAATTTATTGATAGGTTGCCTGCTAAACTTTCATTTTATGTCCGCACAAGTAAGCCTAAAGGTGCACCAGACGCTTTAACATTGAGGCGTATAAATACAGAGAATGTGACAATACTGTAGCCGCTGTACGAACTATTTCAACAAGCCTGTCCGAAATTTCAAGTTTAAAACAACAAATGAATCACTGACAGAGCTCATGAATGAATAATTACATTAGATGTATGTTTCATTATAATACGTTATTCTGATTGGCTAACTGCAATCTCG